TCGAGATCAGATGCGCGTACGCGAGGGCTCTTAGCGACGCTCAAGGCTTGCTGATCGACAGCGGGCAGAGTTCCAGCTTGGAGCTCGCTCTCTGCTGTCAAGACTTCAGCCTCGTTCTGTACGTCGAACGTCCTGCAGGAGAGATTTCCGCGAGGTCCAAGCTGGCATGGCGACCGAAGCATAGGTCTTCGTGCGCGTAGCTACGCTACCATCTTTTCTGATAACTGGTGTATAACCGGTATGCGATTTAATGTGCGCTATGTGACAATCGGGTGATCAATCCGATTGTTTTGTGTAAAACACGGTAGAAAAAATGAACTCAAAAAAAAATGTGGGACTACGGGGTTTCTGATTAGAAAGTCGTAGAACACAAGAGACTGTTTGCGGAGTTGTTAGTCGAGATTCAATGAGACTGAGATTGAGTCGAGCAAATCCGCGTGTTCAACGGAACTACCTACTCGGTTTACATGTGAGATAATTTATACCAAACTACGAGACCCTGCGGGTCCGCTTACATGACTAGAACTACTATACGAAACAATAAGAACCTGGGCTGTAGTGCCTACGCACCGCGGCACAGTAATTGCGGACTCCGGCGTAGCCGAACGCACTGAGCCGCAGTGGCCGAAATTACCGAGACGCGTGTGTGATCCTTACAATTTTTGAGATTCATGCAATTTGAAACTGCGTCCAAAACTCTGAAATTAATGGATACATTCACGTCATTTGAAACTGTGAACGAAACTCTAAAATTCACTCACCGTTTCAAGCAGGACTTAATCACACAAATTCAGTTACAAGTTCATCAGGTGTGAATTTTTTCACTTTCCGGTGTGCGAGGTGACGGTGAATACCGAAAGTGCACAGTTCTAGAAAATCATGTACAGTGATGCGATCCAATGCGACAACGAATAACGACAACTTCAATCAAAAAGAGGGCTGAATTTTGTCGAACTGTTTCCAAAGGCCAGTGCGTACAAAGATTTGAATTTATCGGACTCGCGGAAGAAGCAGGTCGACACTCAGCAAGTTCACGAGTGGGCTTGGACCGATGACCATTCCCGGACAAGAGTCTTCTCCACAAATTGCAAGGTGTTACATTCCGGTAGCACTGATTTAGGGATAATTCTATTCAGAAACCCCGGTTGCAGGCAGAAACCCCCCTCTTATTCGGAGACCCTCCGACTATTGAACTTTTGGGGGGTTTCTCCGTGATCCGGAATTCCGGCCATAATATGTCAAACAAACAAATGCGAGTTACCTCCAAGTCGCGTCAATAAAAGGTTTTTACGCATTTTTCTCACCCCAAAAGTCTTCTCTTCAAGTCTTATGTTGATTGTCATATTTTGCCCCAGCACTTAGACTCGTCCTGCGCAGTGTTCCTGTTGCAGTGATCGCTTCTCAGGGAATACACCGAGTTTGCTAATTTCTTTTCCATGGTTGGACTTGGAGAGTTGACTTGGAGCGCCGTTGCGCGTATGGTCTTGCATGTAGACTGGGTCCAAGTCATCTAATAGCAGCCATAGAAGAAATTGAACCTGACAAATGTCAAAGTCTCCTCGTGAACCTGGTTCAACTGTCAGGCCAATGCTGTCCTGATGATGGCAAAAAGGTTCGTGTTTCACTGTCCTGCCTCTCTACTACAACCAACACCCATTTTGAGTTTCTCGGTAGCGCAAAGTACATGTCTTCGATTCGGACCCAAATCAGTGACTTCCGGCCCCATCTGCTACTGGATATCTAAGCGTCTCACCGCAGAGTAGCACATCAGTATTGCGGGCGCATTGGGGGTCTCCCTCGCAGGAGGAGGACGTGGGCAATATTGACATGCAGTGCCCCCCGCTGAGTTCGTACTCACCTGACATGGATGGCAGATGTACAGTACTTTGGAATTCCCTGGAATTCCAATACATGACCATGTTATTCAAGACATAGCTCTCACCTGGGCCGAACGATATTCTCGTCCGATCCCGACCTGCACTCAAGCTTCAAGATGCTTGATCCTGCTGATTTATTTTGAGATCCACAACTATCATGTGAACTGTATTTTCTTGCAGCTACGAGCTTGGCCACCGGTCCGAATTAGGCAGGTCCCGACCGGGGCCTCCGGCCGCAGAAACCAGGATTTCTGGGTAGAAACTATTTTTAGATGGGGGGTTTCTGTCTATCCCGGATTCGGCGTGTGGCGAATGCTTTGGCTTGATCTCAAACACCCAATTCAAGAAGGCTGTCAATAAGCCTTGCCCTCTGGACGACATGTGCAAAAACCAGAGCTATCGGGGTCATGCTCTTGCTGTGTTGTACGGAAAAGCTGTCGGCCTGAGAGAGATTATAGTGGCCAAGGTTTTTTTTTTTTCGTTCACAAAATTTTACCGTACTGATGAAGGAGTTTAGGACACCAATACGCCGGCGCTTTGATATGCATAAGGTGTGCTTTCTGGGAAATACAAGGGTAACGATATGTTCGGTGGACTGTTGAACGCGATGATAGTCAAGTCTGATAAAGAAGATCGTGGAGTTGGAAGCCAAGGCATGCGATATACGCCGGAAACTCTGGAATTCTGGCATATCCTCCACATGCACAGTCCCCGGGCTTTCAAGTTTGCATCCAAATACCTGCCAGCTCCAACCGAACCAACTCTTCAGTACGTAGCATTGTCAGATATATCACAATTGTAACTTATACACTTTCTAGGCGTCACCGTGCAGCTCTGACAAAGATCTGCGCAGCGCACTGGGGCGCGCGGAGCATCCCCATCCTCCCTTGCCCGCCCGGGAACGGGGACCCAGACAAGCAGACGACAAACGGGACTGCGCGCGGCACGTCAGGGCGGTGGGCGGCCTACTCTTGCTCCACACCAGCGCGAGCTACGATCCGCGAGAAGACCATCAGCGCTGAGCGGGGCGAGACGCGGGGAGTCCTCACCCACAGCTCCTCCGCCGCGCGCCCCGACCCCGGCGTTTCTCTCCTCCGCTAGCGACGCACGAGGCCACGGAGCGCCGCAGCATCCTCGGCCGTGGCCTCCCTCCCCGCCGAGGGACGGGGAGGAGCGCTCCGAAGATGATCTGCGCGCTGCGTCAACGAAGATTATGCAAAGAAGGGCGCACGCGTATCCCGCATTCCTGCTCCTTGCTTCGGCCCGCCGACGATGAAATGGATGAAGCGTGCGCCACATGGGCGCGGCGCGATGAGCGGGCTCGTAGCGGCGTACTCGGCCTCCCTCCCCCGAGGCAGGGAAAGGGGGATGCGAAGTAGCTGCCCGCGGCGGGCCAGAATGGAGCCCGGCCTCGTCCTCGCCCTTATCTTGCCTTCCCTCCCTTCCCTGACGACGACGAGGATGATCTAGGCGCCGCGTCAGTGATGATTACAGGGAAAGAAAGAGCGGGAGCGCGTACCGGGGCCATCCTCCCACCTCCTACGCCTGGCCCAGCGGCGGACACGAGCATGCGAAGGGACGCGGCGCCACGTCGGCGCGCTAGATTGCGAGATTGCCCGCGTCCGTCCTCGGCGAATGACGGACAAGGACACGATGGCGCGAACGCGCCGAAGATGGTCTGCGCGCCGCGTAAGTGACGATTGCAAGGAAAGAGCGGGGGCTCGTACCGGCGGCGTCCTCACCGACCCCTGCGGCCAAGTGTTAGCGGGTAGCTTCCGCAGCGAACGGGAGGCGGGCGTACCGTTTTCGCCCTCCGCCACAACCACGATGTGGCGCGGAGGCTCGAGACACTACGGCCGGCGGGCGCGTACGCGGCCGTGCATCCCCCGCGCCCAGTACAGCGAGCCTCTAAATGCGCGCGCGGAGCATCAGCGGGGATCTCGCCCTAAATAACGACATAGGTACAAGGGGTACCATGTGGTCCAAGCTTTCTCCCCAACGACGAGATCCCCTCTGCTCGTGCACGCATATGCGTCGAAGGAGATCCGCGCGAGAGCGATAAGGAAAGAGTCGGGCCGTGGATTTACGCACCCCGCGATGCTCGCAACGCCGAGCTGCGAGCCAGGGCTGTCTCTCGAGAGGCGCGTGTCGATGTCATCGTCCGCGACTCGTGTGCGTCATATTTGCGCATGTGTTGGCGAGCCGACTGATCCGACCTTGTGCGCAGCGCTCGTTCAACTTAATATTCGAACATCGGCAGTTTGGTGGACACCGATGTTCAGAGGTGGATCCATTTATTCAACCCCACCCGGGTCTAAGGAAGGCTTCGTGGATCACGGCAGATCACTCTCCTATTGTGGCCTCAGTCAAGTTGACAAGTTGAATCTGGCCGAGAGAAATGCGGGTTCGACTCCCGCCGAAGCCATGGATATCTTTGATGTACCTTTTTAATGAGAAATCAGGCAAACAAGTGCATCGACCTAGTCAACCCCACAGCGCTCTAATGAAGGCTTCGTGGATCACGGTGGATTACTCTCTTACTGTGTATCTTCGCTGCAAGACTTGCCACTAGACAAACGCGGGTTCGACTCCCGCCGAAGCTATCAGGAAGGAAGCTCCGTTTTTTTTCGTCCTCTTTCTTGCCTTGTTGCTATGCATATGAGCCGTGACGGGCACCGATCTGGATTTTCGTGTGAATTCAGTTGGGTGCACCCCGAGGTTCATCCATGTTCCAATGCGCTCAGCACACTCGAGTCGGAATACAACACACCTATTTCTTTACCGCCCCTACCGCTATAGTGAAGGCTTCGTGGATCACGGTGGATCACTCTCCAATTATTATTGACAATCCGAGTATGCTGCGAGAGAGACGCGGGTTCGACTCCCGCCGAAGCTATGGGCCTTGAATCTCCGTTTTTTCGTCCTCATTCTTGCCTTGCTGCCATGCATATCAGTCGTGACGGGCATCAATCCGGCTTTTCGTGCGAATTTAGTTCGGGGCGCCAGAGGCACATCCCATCTACACACACGAGGGCTATGTCCCAGGTCGCTGACGCTTTTCACACACATCGACGAAGGGTGCAGCTACGTATTCAACATCAACGTCCCTACCCCTGAAATAAAGGCTTCGTGGATCACGGTGGATCACTCTCCTGTTGTAAGTGGCGGAGTATACCTTCTACGAGAGAAATGCGGGTTCGACTCCCGCCGAAGCCATATAAGTGCACCTCCGTTTTTTCGTCCTCCTTCTTGCCTTGCTGCCATGCATATGAGTCGTGACGGGCACCGGTCTGGATCTCCGTGTGAACCCAGTTCGGTGCGCCAAAGGTCCATCCCATCCACACACCATGGGTGTCTCCCAAGTCGCTGACGTCCTCGACCAAGGTCACAAACAGCGCTGACATTTATTCAGCTACCACTGCTGTAATGAAGACTTCGTGGATCCCGGTGGATCACTCTCGAATTATTATTAAGAATCCGAGTACGTTCCGAGAGAGACGCGGGTTCGACTCCCGCCGAAACCATACGAGTGAACATCATCTTTTTCGACCTCCTTGTTTCCAAGTTGCAACTTGGCATGCACTCATCCATTCTGGATCCTCGCGGCATTAAATCTTGAATTTGGACCAGTTCTTCTGCTTGATCCCCAAATCAGCCCCCAAATTAATGTTTGCAGCCTAACTCAACTTGGCCAAGGGAGGTACATTTATTCAACCACCCGCTGTGGATAGCAAGGCTGCGAGTTTACGTGACGTCGGAACACAGTGATTAAGGGGACCGGGAGGCGGGCACTTTGGGTGCGTTGCGAACGACCATATGAGCCCCGGGACCGTGAGAGGGGTATTGCATCGGCCGCATTTGTTTTCTTGCTTCCGTCTTCATCTTTGCCACCGTCGCTCGTGCCCGCACTTATGCTGCCCTGGGATCTGGATTCTGGATGTGCTCTAACGGTGGCCGCGACTCTACTCGGATTTCGCTCGGCTCTTAATCTCCTCGACTTAAAGGACTCAGGCCTTCGTAAATTAACTGGCAGACCGCTCTCGCTTCGTTGGGCAAGAAATCCAGGTACGGTTTCGACTCCTGCCGAGAGCGTCTCCAAGAGATGTTCTCGTTTCGTCGTCTGGCGTTTTCTGCTCCCGCCGCAGCCAGACCCACTGTTTTTTCCGTTATTACTGGTGTGGTCCACCTCGCCCCAATAATTCATCTAGTGCAGTGCGGTTCGACCGACTAATATGTTCCGGACACTTACCAACATTCTACCCAGCAGCGTATCAGTGGATCACTACAGGTCCCGCTCTTGCTATCCGATGACTGTCCCCATCCGAGAGGGCTTGCGAATGTACTTATGTTGTTCTGACAGTGCGTAAAGATCGTTGCCAGATCCGCAACTCTCCCGGCCTACAGCTAGGTGAACACTACCCAGCAATTTATCCAAAGCCCTACCCCACCTAGGGAAGGCTTCGTAGATCCCGGGGATCGTTCTCCTCCTATCACTTCGTTATCGAGCAGTTCAGAGAGAGGGCGGGTTCAACTCCCGCCGAAGCCCTACGCTGGTGAGTTCCCATTTTTTTGGTCACCGTCATCATCGCTGTCATGATAGTCCGTTCCAGCGCGCGGGAGTCGCGGGTACCGTGGGTTGACGAATAGATGTAGGCTAGCTGAATAGGAACCTCTAGATCTCAAACGTTTGCGGTTTCGCTTGCCTCGGACGTTTCGTTCTTCTCGTGGGCTTGTTTATTGTCGCTGCAAATATCATCCAGACAATGCAAGGCACGCTCTCGAACCGTTGTCTTGGATCCGGACCCGGGGCGGCTACGAGCTAACGACTAGGTGAGTCTAAACTAGCTAGACACGAACCTCTATATCTCAACGTTTGTGGTTTATCCAGGCATGGACGTGCTCCTGTAATATGCACTCCCGCAATTCACTGTTTTCGTAAGACCTTGCTGTTGAAGCGACTCTCGAGCGGTCGACAACTATCTGCGAGTCGAAGATGACGACCTGGATATTTCCGCGGTCTTGGGCTGCTCAATCCCATCATGTTCTTGACCCTCAGATATCGGAACGACGTTGGTGGAGCCCACCAAGGATCCGACGATTGGCTAACGTGGCGGTTCTCGGTGGGCGGAGTTCGGATGCCTCGTATACCCGGATGTCGACTGAGGAGCTTCGCACAACGAAGACGCGTGAATCTTGTCTACCCATTCGAGCGTGGAGTAGCGCGCCGGGATTCTATGAGCTTGTCGACGGAAGCTGTCTGATTACACAACGAAGCGGGAGCTTGGCGTCATCCACAGCAGATCAGAATAGCGGCTTCTTTGGACGCTAGTTCCTTGGGTGAGTAGGAGGCATCCGCGGCGCCCACACGGGTGTGGGGGCCGGGCGGGGAGCTGCGCTCTGGGATTGAGAGGTGGGGAGGTGTAGATGTGGGGGGGTTTTTTGTCGTCGGGGGGAGGGATCAGGCTGTTTTTAGGAAAGCGTGCGCGACCAACCAACCACCACCATTATTACTGTTTGGGCCATTTGATGGGCTTCCTTCGTCAGGGCACGATGCTGGGACCTCCGTTTTGGTGCTCTTTCCTCAGCTCCCTTTGTCTTATCGTGTCTCATATACTTTAAATCATCATTGGATTGACCGTCTACCTCTAGATCTCCGCCTTCCTTTTACGAGGGCAAAGCTCTAGGTGCGGAAGGACTGAAGATGATGTCGGATGCCACGTTCCCCATCTGGCTACTGGTTGTCAGAGCTGTCTGATGCGGCTTGGAATAACATTACATGCGCTTTGGGACTAGACTCGTTACCACTCTGCCTACGAGGCAAAAAAATAAGACAAACTCTTTGCCGTAGGCAGACTGGTATAATTCGGGCGGCCCAATTGAGCTGGGCCTGAGTTTGAAATTTCCGATCTGCACTCAAAGTTCATTATTTTCCCTCAATCAAAGCTGGAGGTCGAAATTAAATGTGCATATCTTCATTTCTGTCTCCTCAGATTTTTTTTGGGACCCCGGGGGGTTGCAACTTGAACCCGAGTTTAGTTGAGAAAGTTGCCGTTCGGTCCGATGACCGGTGATCGGCAAGTCGGTACCCCTTAAAAAAATCAAACTCACACAAGGGGCAGACCATCCTATAGTATGTCACTAAAGTCGAAACTTATGCATATCCCAGTTATTATGTGTTTCTTGAATCGCTCTGCAACATATCTGAGATTCTCTCAAAACCTATGCTTTTCAAAGGCTGATCCAGGTTTTATTGAGAACATATGTTGAACAGATTTGGAAAGATCAAAGATATGTCGCGGGGGAAAATGAGAAACACATACATACTAGCTAGGATATGCATAAATTTCAGCTTTGATTACGTGCTTTAGGATGATTTGTCTCTGGTGTCAGGCCCAGCTCAATTGCAAATCCCGAATTGTACCAGTCTGCCTACGGCAACGTGCTCGCCACATTGTTGCGACTCGTAGGCAGACTGGTGGTGAGTCTACTTTGGGACTCACCCCATTTCTGTCCTCACTACAACCCCGATGTGTGTAAAAAATCTTGGACGTCTCCTTGGTCAAATTTGGTGCCGCACCACTTTGCAGAAAACTCCCCCGGCAACCCCGGTTAACTCCTTGCATCTAGTACTGGAAGGACTTCATAATATTTTTCGGATAATTCTTGAATAATTTGCATCCTGAGTTGTGACCGCCCCAAACAGCCAAATATCTTCATTGAGACCTATGACCCGAGGCGGAGGAGTTTCTGCTGTGTATCCTCTTTACTGTTGAAATACAAGACACTGATCCCGCCCGCGATTCTGAGCAAATCGATGCTGATTTCGGACCAAACAGCCTACATCAACCCGACTCGAGCCGCCCGCAATGCAGCGTGCTCACGCAGCTGCGCACGACACATTTCACCCTCAACGTGTACCTTTACCGCTTTCACCTCACCCCATCCCCTGACTGCGGGCCATGCCTCGTCCCCGAGACCGTCCCCACTACCTCCTCGCCTGCCCCATCTACCGTCGCCAATGCCTGAACCTCATCCGCCGGCTGGGCACGGCGCGGCTCTCCCTCCGACTCTTACTCGCAGCTAAGTCCGACCCCAAACCGGTGCTGGAGTTTGCGCGCGAGACGGGCCGCTTCCCCCGATACCCGCTCTAGCGCGTTCGGTTCCCTTTTCTCTACTTTTATTTCTTTCCCTTTTTCTCTCTTTCCTTTACATATATCTCTTGCCATCGCCTATCTTGACATCACACCATCGTCTGAAAATTCACACAACACCCTCACAGCATTCTCCGCCTCATACCGTAGGTTTACCCCTCCCCCCTGCATCCATTACATGCCCGCTAGAGCACATAAATGTCCTATGTATGGTGCCACATGGGTCCCCAGGGGCCCGCGCGCACTTTAATTGAATTTGAATTGAATTGAACCCAGAAAGCTGCGAGGTGAATATCTGATGCTGCACACCAAGTATCCCAGCTGTATGACAGATGTCGTACAGCTATACGACAAGTGTCTACTGCTGTGAAATAGCTATGTACTGTTGTGTAAGTGCTGTGTAACTACTGTATATCATGAAATTGACACCTTTGCACTACAAAATGTTGCGTGTTTTGAGATGTTCGATCCCCCTAAAAACCCACCATGAAGATAGCGGGAATCTTTCTTTCCAAACTCCGAGGCAGCTTGTACTGGTCCGTACTCGCAAATCCAAGGCTATCAGCTCGAGCGAGTTGCAACTTGGAGTAACTGAAATACGTCACGGAGTGATGTCAACGGCCCGTGGTCCGATTCCCGCTTTTGCTCCCCTCTCGTTCCTTGCTTTCACCTCGTTTCTTCCAGGTTGTTGCGGCGGCCTCTGATACTCTGCACTATTTTAAACCTCTGCGAAGCGTCTACCGCCCACTCTCCGCGATCTCCTCGGAGACCGCACCAGCCCGGCGCCACAGCCTCACGGCTTCCCGTACATTCTCGCACCGCCAGTACACCAACAGTACACAAGAACTGCGCTGCAGTTTCTTTTCCTGTCCCAGAACCATCATCCAATCTGCGATCTTGGTGCTTGTCTTTGTCGTTTACTCCTTCACTTTACCGGGACTTCCGGCCACGTCGAAAAGAAAGCGAAAAGATCCGGCATGCATTCAAGACATCCGGCTGGAAATTGCGGTCACATTCTTGCGCCAGCTGTACCCATATCTTGCCGGGCCTCTTTCGTTCCTCGCT